AGGATCATGTGAGAAACTGGTCCTCTTCAGAAGAAAGCTGGCCTAATTTAAGTCACATTCCCAAGCAATCAAAGCAAAGCCAGTTGCTTTGCACTGAAATGAATCAGGACCTTTCAAATGGTCCTTTATTTGGCTCATCTGTGGGAGCAGTAAGTCCAGAAGAGAAGTTTGTTGCTGGTAATTTCTGAACTGAATAATTTCTTTCCTCCTGAATCTTATGATTAATTTTAGGGCAGCTTGAGTCTGACCAGTGTCAATTTTTTTTCACTGGTTTCAGGAGGACTCAGTGTGGTGGGATCTATCTCATGATGCACAGAATTTTACTCTATGCTGGCTGTGCAGGAAGAGGTCTGTCCTCTGCTTGGTACATGTGAGGCACATGAACTCCAATTGCTTCTCCAAGGACACGCTGAGAGCCTGTGGTAGAAGGAGGAACAAAGGCCCTATCTCTGGTTCAGTGCTTCAACCGCACAAATGTAATCTATCAATATAGATAGTTCTGGATGAAAGGTACATCACGGTGTATTTTTGGCTGCTGCCTTCAGAGGTAGTACTAAATCTCCTGGGGGAATGCAAGCAGTGAGATAGGATTCAAGTTCCAAAATCACCATTTTCTTGCTGCCTTTCCTCCTCTCTCACGCTGGTTGGGTTCAAAGGGGAGCCTTTTCTTGGGGTTTCTATGTCATCTCTTCCCATCAGCAGATTTTGGTTCAGAAATGCATTTTCATTCTTTTACAACAAAATGCTATTTTTTTCCAACCCTAACTGAAGAGCTGCAGATTGGCAAAGGATACAAAAAGAACAATGAACCAGCAGCTAGTGTTTACATTGGCCACCTTGTGTAAGTGCTGATATTAGCATTTCTGAAAGGGTTCATTCATCACTGAAAAAAGGTTTACCTGTGAATAAGAGCTTGCTTGGGAGGGCCTGTGTGCCTCCTTTCCTCTATCAACAAAGCTTAAAACATCAAGAGATGGTTTTGCAATGGATATTAATGCATGCCTGTTATTTCAGAATGAGAATAAGTCACTGAAAGTGTTCCATGCCTATTTCTGATGGCGTAACGAAAGCAGCAGTAAATTTAAAGAAAAATCTTATTTATTTTCATGTGTCTTGTTTGTTTATTTAATTATTTAGAGACCTGAATATATATATTAAAAGTGGCTTTCTTGGGCTTTTTTAAAGAATAAAATCCTGTGATTCAACCTTAAGCCTAGGGACTAGTACTCAAGTCATGGAAAATCGCATAGACCTGCACTAGAAAGAACAATGTCTGTTGAAAGCACTGTGCCCTTTCCAGACTGTGATCTCTTCTGGGGATGTCAGCAAAATAAACATACTTTTATGAAGTACCCTTAAACCTTTCTTACCTCTTGCTGTTTGTCACACTTGTTGCAGTTTGCCTTGAATTAGTTGCCTTCACACTGAAGTATGTTGTTTTGCTTAAAAAAAAGAGGTCTGTGTGCTCTGCACTGGCCCAGCTGGCGTGCCACGAGCCATGGCTGAAGGGTGGAAGAGGTCCCCTGCAGGGCCAGCAGGCAACATTTGTTACATCCTCATACTGCAGGGTCTCCCAGCAATGAAGGACACATAACAACAGCATTTGTGAGGGAGCCAAAAATGTGCAGTCTCTGTGGGATATCTACATTTTCACTAGTATTCCTTGGGATTCTGTGAGGTGAAGATCAAACTTTTTCAGGTACATTGTTATGCTGTAGGCTCTATTATACCATTTTTCTTTTAACCTTTTGATTGCTTCACTTTTAATCTGGAGGAAGCTGAGGGCTGGGACTCTTCCTGGGCACTCATACAGCTCCTGGCATGGTGCGGCTTGAGTTCTGGCAGGAGACTCCGGCCGTTGCTGCAATCCCATTTAAAACCAAAATGACATGTCTGGAAGCTAACCTGCTTGCAAGTGTCCCTTTCATGCAAAAAGTGATACTTTGTGAGCACTGATTGTAAAGCAGAGGAAGAAAGCAAGTGTGAATGAAATGGGAGACCATGGACCAGCCAGCCCACTGCCTTCTATGGGAAGTCCTCTTGGAGAGGTGCAAGTGTCTAAGACTTATCTGGTGGAGTTTCTTGTCAACCCTTTAAATTGTCAGTCAGGGGCAGCTGGCCTGATGGCTGATAAGGAACCATGAGAGTCATCCCATCAACCAGAGGGGTTGCACTCTGCCTTTTGGGGGCTGTGACTTCAGCATGGAGGTTGGTTGCATGGTGGGAGCAGAAATAATGCTAGGAATCTCTAAAGGGATGGGTGAGCACATAAACGGCCAGTGGTGCACTTAAGGGATTTCATAGTAGGCAGTTGAAGGAGAGATGCCTTCTCTGCAACAAACGAACACTTCTCTGCACAGAACCAGGATAATTTCCCTTCAATCTGGGGCAGATTGCCAGCAGTCTCAAACGTAATCCTCACAGTATTACTTCCAAAGATGAAACAACAGTATTATGGGCGCTGCCACTGAGGCAGGTAATCTTTAAATATAGCTGCAAATTGCCTGGTTTAATGCTAACAAACCCAAATGGTGAGGAAGGCAAGACAGGTAGCAGCACTGATACAGCATAATATAACGTGATGGCTGATGTAAATGTGACTCACTGTAGCCAGAGGCTTTGGTAAAGGAAGTTGGATAAAAGATATAAAAACAAATATGAATTTTTTTCCTTCCTGATGAAGGTCACTGCCAGGAATAGCATGGGAAATAATTAAAGGAGGAAGAAATGTTCTCCTTCAAATTAGAAGTATTGTCTTGCCTCACAGATTTGTTCTCCTCTTTGAGCTCCCGTTAACAAATACCGGCAAACATGCGGGGCCTTTCTCCCTGGAGCCGCTGATGGATATCCCACCCAGCGGGTGATGAATGCAGGGGACTGCTGAATGCAGGGCTCACGGTGGCTGTTAATGGGTGTCCGCCTCCCTGGCAGTCCACCCACCAGCAGTGTGCTGAATGGGCCTGGGAGGCTGAATGGACTCTGCACAACGGCGGCCAATTTCCCGGTTAACAGGGAGGCGCAGTGCCAAGGCTGTGTGTGAGAGCCCGTGCAGCCTGCTGAGGGGGGTCACCCCTTCCCCTCCGCTCCTGAGCCCTGGCGACATGGGTCTTTTTTCCAGCCCCAGCGCAGGTCCTGCTCCCCCAGTCCCTACGCTTCATGTGGAAGACATAGATGACACAGTGACCGCTGCGCTTGCCAAGGAACAGGCTGTTCTCTGCTCATCCTGTGGAGACCTGGGAGGCTCTGGGCTACTTGTTTGCTCCCTGTGACCAGCACTGCACATACAGGCGTGCAAGGGAAGGGGAAGCCATGCAGCTGTGCCTGTGGTGCAGTGTGCATGCAATGCTACCATAGCCAGGTGCGGTCCGTGGTGCAGCCCTTCTGCTGCACAGGAATGTGATGCTGCAGTTTAACTCCATTTCATCCAAGTGCTCTTGGAATGAGGATGGGTGAGGAGAGGAGCGAGTGCCTGTGTTCCGTGTCACCACCCTGCAGCCGGGGAACTAGGCAGCTGTGAGGGGCTGAGGGGCTGCTGGCTCCCTGGGGCACTGGTTGGTTTGCTCCCAGCCATAGCAGGGAGGGTTGCTGGTGGGAAGCTCTGAGCTTCACATTCCTGACTAAAATCTCCTGTGCATGACTCCATCTGTTCTGCCATGAAGGACTGGTCACGTTTTCTGTTCTTGACCCCACGTGGCTGCTCTGAACATCCCAGGTTACCTGTGCACAAACCAGCTGCCTTTCCCACCGCTTGGCTCTTGGCATCTCACAGCCCTCCATGGCTGCTCAGCACCTGCATGCTGGGTCATTAGGGCAGTTAGCACAGTGTTAAGATTTTCGGAGGGCTTTCCTTTAGGGAGCCCAGGAGGTGAGAATTTGGCTCCTCCCTCAGCAGCCTCCTGGCCCTGCAGTGGGCTTTCAGAAGTAGGAGCACTGCAGAAGTACTGAGTAGTCCAGAGCTCCCATATGGCACAGGAAAAACCTACTATGGGAAAGCTGCTAATAGCAGAGGTAAGCTCTTACCCGCATTTTCCGCTGGCGTTACAGACGCTGGAGAATCAGCTTGTTTCAGCCAGGTTCCCAAACTGCTTTTTGGTGTTCATCCAAAACAAGCCTGTGCATTGAGGTTTCCTACTCCAAAACTGTCTAACTGAATGAAAGGAATTACCTTGGTTGTACAGATGCACCTCCATCTGGTCCTACAGCTACAGGGGGACCATAATACAGCTCCAGCTTGACTTGCCTTTTCTCCCCAAAGAGGAGCCATTTGAAGAATTTGGAGCTCCATCCAGATCTGACTTGCACAGCTGGCGACTCTCTGTGTAGCAAGTAAAATCCTAATACAGAAAGCTTGAAGGCAGTACAGAAATGTGGCTGCGCATAAGTGTTGGGTGTTTTCCTGGTAGTGCTCATAATGCTGCTCAGTCTGGAGTAGCTGGGGAACAAGGATCAACCCCACAATGACAATCTGTCACTTGCATGTCTTCATGTTGACTTGAAGTCTGGCCCTTTCATTCTGCTTGCTTTCTCATTTCCCAAGGCACGTATGCTGCTCTTCTAGCCTTATGGTTATGAAATTTGGGGTCACACATTCTCTAATCTGGGGTTTTCACAGCTGCTGCTCCTTGAAACAGGTACAAGAGATGCTGAGTTGGGTGGGATGACCTGTTGCTCTCAGTTTTTTTTCTTCGTAACATCTCTATCAAGAAAGACTGTAAGAAACATGATTCAAATACTTCTAGATCAACTTAGTCTTGTCACACTCAAATGTTATGACTCCTTATGGATGTGGGGTTTGTGAGCTGTTTTATCATGTTTTTTATTATTTTTCTGATGAAAAAAGTTATGTAATTCAGGCTTTTCCTTCTTCCTTCTCTTTCTTGCACTCAAATTTACCATGTTTGCAGATATACTGTGCCCATGTTAGCAACTGGTGTGATGCAGTAGGAGCAGATCCATAGATGTAGATGTTCAGTGCTAAGGACTTGATATGTCAGGGGGTTTACACCAGACTGCCTCTGTTCTGGTTCCCAGGGATGCTCATTAGGGGTTGGAGCACAGGCAGGAGGTACTCCCCTGGAGTCCATCTCCTGGTTTCCTTTCACTCAAAGGGAATCCAGTTAAAAAAACCCGCTCCCTGGCATAAATCCAAACAGGCAAGTGGAGAAACAAAAACAGGCACATAGAAAGACCTGTCAAAAGACCAAGGTCAGGAAACTGAGCCCAAAGACATTGCTTTACCCTGAGGTCCCACATGTGCAAACGGGTCAGTTATTTGGCTAGTGAAACAGCTGTTTAGCTTGGCTGAGCAGCTCTGTTATTCTGCTGATCTATTCTTCCCTCTTCATACAGTTCCCTAACCTTCCCCTTTTCCAAACCCTCACACAGCACATACATATATATAAATATATATATACATAAAATACATGTGTGTGCGTAGGCAGTTGTGTCTGCTGCCGGGATTTCCTCCCAAACAATGCCTGTTGTGCTGGCCACAGCAGTTCTCTCGGTTCCCATGCTCAGAGCAGTTTCCTGCTGGCTCAGCAGCAAGACTTTCAGGGCTTTTTATACTTATTCTTCTTTGGGAGCCAAGCGGAGGAGCACAGTTTGCCTGTGAATAGAGAGCAGGCTGGGCAGGCAGCAGGAAGCTTGCATACTAAACTGTGCGAACTTTGAGAAGGGGAGGAAGGGGTGAGGGGCTGCTGGCTGGTGTTTGCTGCAGCCCTCTGCCTTATACATTTGTTATCTCAGCATAGGGATGCTCCCTGCCAAAGTATCTGTAAAATGGCAGTGGAAAGAAGCAAGAGAGCTGAAAACGGAATTATGGAAGAAACATGGGGAGAGCTTGGAGAGCAGAGAAAAGTGAGGAGGCTTGGGGGTTAATTATTCACGTGAAAACTTGTGGATGGGTTCCCTACATAGTGCTGCACTGCTGGGCTCACAGACCCGCTTGCTCACCCCCCAAGTCACTGCCCTGGCAGCGGCTGCACTCTCGTTTCTGGGTAGTGGCAGCTTTTCTGTATTGCCCAGGCAAAATTAAAACCACAGCAATGAAAATACACTCCTCTCTTGCCCCCTGCACTCTATGCCTTTCTTTTGCTGTCAGCAAAAAAAGGATAAATAAATGGGTTCCCATTTACAAGGACATCATGGTGTTCTTATGAAAAAGGGGTGTAATGAACAGCACTGTGCACTGCTGGTGCCTGCTTGTTGGTTACAGGCAAAGACACTCCTGCAGCGGGGAGAGAGGTAATTCGGCAGGTGCTGTGGCTTCAGCTCCGCTTCAAGTGTGCTTGGAGCATCCTTGGAATAAAGCAGGACGTGAGAGAAAGAAGGGAGGACAGGCTGAGCCCTTCTGCCTGCAGACCAGCTACCTGCCTCCTGCTTGTGTCCTCACAGAGGCTTGCCTGTGCTTTGGAAATGAGGTGGCAGAGGATTGCACATGCTGCACAGGTGGTTCCTGAGCAAGAGTATCCCAATGTGGGCATAGTGCCTTGGCAGGTGTTGGCATGATGTCCTGGTGCAGGGAGAGCTGACACACTGGCCTGGCAGGTATTGCAGGGCAGGGCAGGGAACACCGTGCATGTATGTAGGATCTATTTTTAGGGTGATAGCAATATGGGGAGAGCCAGCGGGTGGTGGAAATGCTCAGCAGAGTGACAGACCAGAGGTGGGGTGAGGCTCAGCTAAGTAAGTCATGTTGTAGCATCATTGCAGTGATGCCACCCTCCTGGCCTCATCTGAAACAAAAACACCCCCCGGCTTTCCCTGTGTTTGGCAACACCCTTCTCTGAGGGCGCCTATTACTCCAGGCTCTAAATATCTACAAACACAAAGTAAATTGGAGAAGCTGTGCCCTTGCCCCCCTGCCCAGCTCAGTGGCACTCTGTGTATAGCCCCCAGTGGAGTGCCAAGTAAGGCGATATGTCTGCTTGGCACCTGCATCCCCTTGGTGTCCTCCCAGGATGAGTAACCTTGTCTGGAAGTCCTTGAGTGCTGGGGAGATGGAGAGATACAGCCCTGGGTCCCAGAGTGGGCCTGTGAGGAACCAATGGAGGTCCTGGGGAGAGTCACCCACTGAGCTCATCTAGATCTCAAACAGCCTCTGCCTGCACAGCTTGTGGCAGAGCACAGGCACCTCCAGAGGTAACCAGTGCTTTCACCGTGGTCTTCTGTGAATGTACAAGAGCAATCCCAAATTTGGGGAATTTACCATCAAATTTGTGTACTTTCTGTTCATCTCTGCTTCTGGCTCAGCAGCAGCTCAGTTTAAATTACAGGTAATTGATGACTTTGGTGCTCTGTTTTTAAGGCTAGCCAACATTTTGTGTAAGACCAAATGTTTGGTTGCCTGTAACCCCCTGAAGACTTTAACCATTTACCACTCAGGTGCTTTTTTCTGTCCTGGGTATCTGTCCCAGGGTGAATGCGTCTGGGAAGCTTCAGCAAAAAACGTTTTTGTTCGCTTACAAGAAAGAGACAAGGGAAACAGTTTTTTTCTTTATATTCCAACATGTTCTTGAAGTGATCTGTTGAGAACCTCTGCCACATTCTGCCTTTGGAGGAGAGGCTTGAAATCTGGCAGATACCAGGAATGTGCCTTTGGTTGTTCTTCATGGGGGAAAAAAATGTTGAACTAAGAAACCTCAGGTAAAAAAAGCTTCAGATCTCAGACACTCCACAGAAACTTCTTAAGAGTTAGAAGCTGAATTTTCTGAAGGTACTTGCTCAGTGGGAGCTTGCTCAAGTCCTGTGGGTAAATCACAGATGAGAGTACGGCAGGCACACTGTAGCCTCCTGCTGCAGGTGCAGAGCAGGAGCTCTTTGAAGTTGTTTTTCTGTGCTGACAGGGTCACTGTGGTGCTGGGAACCAGACCCAGAGATGCTCTTGGATATTCTCCTTAGCTGATCTTAGGTGAACACACGGGAAGGCTGGTGTTGACTAGGGCTAGGACCTGGCTGGGAGAGAAAGGGAGCCCTCCACCCGCTGCAGCCTCTTGCAGTGCGAAGGCTGAGGACCTCTTGCTGGAGGGAGGGACTGATACAAGATGTGGAGCTGGACCTGGGAGGAGGATCAAAGCAGAAGACAGGCTGGAAGGACCAGGAGGAGTAGGAGGAGTCAGGTTTGGGAGTATCTTTCCCCATCAGATCACACATCCTGCAGAACCTGGGATATAGCAGACCCAGGGATTTTTGCTGCACAGTAGCTATCTGTTGTCAGCAAATATCTGGGGAAGCCATTGGCACAGGCTGTTGACTCATTCCTGCCTGCTCCCGCAGCAGAGGTTGATGGGCTATCAGTATTCCCAGTTATTCTGCTTTTCAAGCACAATGGAATTAACATCTGAGAGTAAGAGCCAGTCCTGCCAGCAAGCCATGTGGTGGCCAGTGTGATGCCACAGGATTCCTGCATTCTTGTTTCAGTTTGCTGTTTGCAAATCAAGGAAATGACCCAAATCCAATGTAGATTGGAAGCATGGGAAGTTTGCAGGGTCAAGCATTCGGTGGTTAGAAATGCCTGATTTAACACTGCCCTCACCACCTGAGCGCAGCTCTCATCTGCACAAGCATCGTCATAGTGTTGCCTTTAGCTGCAGGATCAAATGCATATGTGTGTATTATTTCTCCCACAACAACTCTACCTCTTTTAATGCTCAGAGTGGGTGGTTCTCAGTAGGTGAGTGGAGGCTGTGTGGGGAAGGGTCCTTATCCTGCCTCGCTGCAGCTATGCAGAGCGAGAGGATCCCCACTCTGCCTCCATGCCACAGCAGACTCCATCCCTCAGCAATGGTGACAGCAGGCACTGTCTGCGTCCTTGGCCTGCAGCAAGACCAAAACAGATGGAGTCCTCGGATAAATTATGTGCTGAACTCAAACAGGCCATATGCAGAGTGAAGTTTTGTGTAACTTGTAACTTGGCCACAGGTGGGAAAACTTAGGACCCTTGCAGAGGCACATTCCACTTCCTTGGCTGGGTATATTGCCAGCCTCTGAAGACAGAGGCACTTGATCTCTATTTGAACAGAGCAAGCTGCCATATATCTTGCTAATCTTATTCTAGGAGACAGTTGGATTATTTTAGCTGAAAATTACCAAAAGAGTCTGCCTGAGGCAGGCATCCAGCATGGAGTGTTTGAGCTCGAGCAGCTGAGCTTTGGCAAAGCTGTGTGTAACGGAAGGCAGTCATTAATGGGAAGCGTTAAGAAACTTTAATTCCAGACAGCACTTACAGGAGGAAATGAGAAACTTTGGCTCTGTAGATGGCTCCACCAGAAGAGACGTACATGTACGAGTGAAATGCTGCTGCTACACAGTCAGTTAGCTGATTGCTACAGCGCAGTACTAACCTGCGCTTGTAATAGGGCATTTGCAGACGGCAGGGGTGGACTTGCTGTTTTGCAGACTTACCAGTTACTTTGTGGTTTGCTGTTGAATCAAATGCTGAGGAGAAACAGTATGTTAGTGATGGTAAAGGGTGGAGAGAAACATGTTGGATTTCTCTTTCCTTGTGGGAGGAGGAGGCGCAGAGGGATGAGATGCTGGTCCTGACCCTGCTGTCACGTGTGTGGCAGGCTGGCTTGCAGGAAGGTGTTATTGTGGCTGTGAGTGGTCGTGGGGACCCCTCCCCGCTTGCCTGACAACCTCTGCACCGACAGAAGTTTCGGTAGGGGTTGAGGCTGGTGGCAGGGGGCTAGCAGCTCTTGCTGCTGGTTTGCACTTTCCTTTTCTGCAGGAAGAGGTATTTTCCTTTCTTGTTACGCTTCACCTAGAGCTGTGTAAACAAGTACTCCCTCCTTGATGTTGACACCTTCAAATGATTTTATCTCCCTCTCGGGGATTTATTTGCCCGAACTTACAATTTAGTTATTTAATCTTCCCCTTAGTTATTTGATTGTTGTTCATTACTGAATTCTTTCCAATATGCCAACATCTCTTTGGCACATGAGTGCCTGCAGTTGCTTTCTCTGCTTAGAGGATGGCTCAGTCCCAGCAGCATGCTGCAGAGAGAAGCCATCTTCCTTCTGCTCTATCATACAATGCTCTTTACCTCTCTGCAGGTCAAAATCAGGACCTCTTATTTTATAAACCTGCATCTAGTTTGCTACTCACGCCTATCTGTATGTTAGGCTCTTTTCAGCAGCTGCTGCAGATTGTTTTTCCAGATACATTTCCTTGCAGTGCCAGTGTCCCAGGCAGGAGCTGCTAGATGCTGTTTTCTTTTCCACTCCCCCATCTTGGAAATGTTTTTTTGTGAGCTTGAAGTCATAACGAGAAACCCAAGCTCATGCACGCTTCCTCATCACTAAATCCAAAATGATCCTTTCAAACCAGAAATGCTTTGCAGGTTTGTAATTCTGAGGCCTGGGAAACAATTCCTTCCCATTCACAGCCACACTATGCACTCCCTGAGGCCTGGGCAGGCTGACAGGGCAGTTTGGTTAGACAGAAAGAAAGGGCATTAAAATGGTGAGCAGGGCTCTTCTGGTGAAGGGTGGGCCAGAGCTGTCTCAGTCCAGCCTGTGGTTACTAGTGTGTCCCTAATGCATTCTGCTGAAACTCAGGCGGATGTTTGAAGAGCTGATTGTTTGGACAGTGAAAAGCTTTGGAATGATGTATGCCCTTTGTATGTGCAGGTGACACTTCATTTTTATGTTCAAAGTGCATTAGGAGCCAATTTCAAGCCAGTCTGCAAATGACACCTAAGCCCAGCCTGTGAAGCATGCGCTGCCTGAAGAGCATTTACTAGGATGTCCATGTAGATTTCATTTTTCTTAAGAAACCTTTTTGACTATTTCTTCCCTGCAGGCATTAGGCATGGAAACAGGATAGGTTTTGTACCTAACCTCACAAGCAGGGGGAGAGGCAGGCGGCTTTGTCTGGGTAGCTCCCCAGTGCCACTGCCTTAAACTGGCGGTGAACTGGAAGCTTCTCCAAGGCTATGGGAGCCAAACGTCCCACCCTGTTTGCCTGTGGCAGCTGCGTTAATTTTTTTTCCTTTTGAGGTCTGAACCCTTCAAAGCTTTGTTTTGTATGGGTAAACAAAACCTAGCTACAGCCTATGGAGAGACCTGGAAACCATTTAGTACAGAAAGATCACAGGGCTCTGGGAATGAATGCAGACTTCTTTTTAACTGGAAATAATGTATACATTTAAAGAGCAGAACATGCAAATACATTCATAAAGGCCATTATCAGGAGCTGCTGGCAGTTTCTCTGAGCAGAAAAGTCCTTGTCTTGGAGATTTCTGCTACCCCTCAGGCTTCTGTCCACTTCTGTGTTATTACTTGCAGTGTTTAAGCGCCATTAAGTTTAAGTGCATAAATTTTCTTTGGCTATTCAACCTCAACCACTTTTGGGAAGGAATTGGCCAGAATCCCTGAATCTAAAATAATCAAATGTCTGTCTTTCGCTTAAAAAGGCTGCCATTTATCTGACAAGCAGTGCAAAATGGAACAGGTAGCTCAGCACAAGCATCCTCCAAGAAACCTGTTCTTGCAAAACCAGGCAAGTGGCTTGCGCATAAGCAGATAAGGTACCTTTACCAATGCCCGGGTTGTGCATGGCATGTCAGTATATTTGGTTTCGTAGCAAGTGTTACTTTTATTGTCAGCCTCTTGGTTTCTACCATTCTCTTTAGAAATATTCCAACCACAACCTGTAACCTCTACAGGCTCATTCAAGGAGCATGGCCTTTCAGACACTCCTTTCGTGAGTGTTTATTGTGCTCCAGGGGAGGATGTCTTTGTTTCAAGATTGTTCAGGGTATGAGAAATAAAAATCAAAATGGAAATAGCACAAAGAACCAAACAGGGTGGTTTTAATGAATTTCTTTCCATACCTGCCAATCCACCCTCCCCTGCAGGAAAAACAACTCTCCAACGAATAAAGCATATGGCACAGAAAATGGAGTGCTGATGCCAAGTTTTCTTTGCCTTAGCAGAACTTGCTGCAAAATGCTGAATATGCAGATCTTCTCCTGAAAATACTCTTTGAGAGAAAGAGGAAGGCATATTCCCACTGCCTTTTTAGCTGGCTGTGCGCTCTCACTGTTTAAATCCTCAATGGTAGGACATTATTGTGGTGCAGTGCTGGGCAGGCACACAGTACTATGTTCAACCTAGCTGCTGTGGAAGCAGTGCATGTGGTGGCAGCAAAGATAACTCATCAATAGGGTGGGCTAAATATCTGAGAAGGATCTGAAGCTCTTCAATGAGCAGAGAGACATCAACCCCCACAAGTTATTTATCCTAAAATAGGTGTGGAGTGCAGTGAAAGGGTGCTTCTCTCTCCCCAAGCTCAGGGAAAACCCTCAGTTCAGCTCAGCCTGTGGCCAGCCATGGCATGACTGCTCCCAGCTCAGCCCCATCAAGTGAGGCTCTATGAGGACACATTGCTGGTGGGTCCTGATGTGTAGCACAGGTGAATAGGACCTCACCACTAACCTGCTCAGCTATTTCCTGAAGGATATAGGATGCTGGAGGAACTTTAAGTGCCTCTCAGCCATGCCTCTCCATGGTTGGTCAAGAGCTGAAGAGGAGGTTTGAGTGTCTGAATTAAGAAGTTAGGCATCTAAGGCTTTTACTGGACTGTGTCTCTGTGGAGACTGAAGCTGAGCAGACTTATATAAAGGAAAAAATCCCCTGCTGAGTTACTTTCATCTTCCAGACAGCTATGGAAATGCTTGTGTTGTGTACTCTTACAGGTGTGTTTCTTCTAGAAGTACTCTCAAGCCTGAGAGATAAGGCCATCATTTTATCTGGACACTTGCCATGGGGATATACCATGGTTTGGGTAAGGGGTGCTGCTCTCCCAGGCAGTGCTTTGGCTTGTAGATGTTTCATAAGGTGGGAGGTGAAGTCCCCACCTTCAGACCCACATGCCAGGAAAGCCTTCCACTATGTGCAAGCAGTGTCTCTCTTCCCAAGAAGTAGAAGATACCCAATAGGGTGAAGAAATTAATGGGCTGGGGAGCTCCTTTGTTTAAACGAATGCTAGGAAAGGAAGAGGGAGGCTTGATTTTTCACATAGTTAGTGTTCCCAATCCTCTCTCTTTTTAGTCCTCTCATGGCAACCTGTGTACTTTGCAGTTCAAAGTCACATGAATCTCTGCTCAGCAGAAATGTGAATGTTTTGATAAAACTGTTCTTAACAAGTTTGAACCATTTAATCAGCTTTATTAACTGCAGAGCTTTATGGTCGTTAATTGGGAAGGACTTACCATAAACATCCACTTTCTGTAATTTCATGAAGAATGTGGAAGTACACAAGACTTTGTTGCCTTGGCAGCAGCATGGGAGGTACCTGTCCCTGTCACCCAGCAGTAACCCTGCAGCTTCAGCCCTGGAGACTTTTGGGTGCTGAGCCTGCCCATGAGACCAGGAAGGCACTGGACAGGATGGACATGCAGCTGGAAGCGTCTTAGTGGACCCTATTTCTTTTCTCTTGAGTTTGCATCTTCTGGATGATTAACTTCCCCTTCCAGTAAAAATGCAGCATGCCTCTTCTGACAAGTCCCACAAGAAAGGAAGCACGGCCATCCACAACAGCACTCTCCTTATTTTGGTTCATAACCTGCCGCAGCCTGCACTGTATTTCAGAGGCTGGCTGAACAAAATCCCCAGGTTTGCCAGAAAGAGAAAATAAGGTTGATCAAAAATCTCAGCTTGGGTACACGTCACAACTGGTCTTTCCTCCATTTAACGTGGCAGACCAACAGGCTGTAAAATACATCCAGCTGGAAAGAAGATCACTGTGTTTTACCGTGCCCAGCCTAATTTTTCAGAGCTGAATGTCCAGTCATATACCTGTGTGAAACCTGAGGCCCTGCAGGCTTAATGCACAAAGTTTTTATTTTAATAGGCAGTTTGTTGCCCACATTACATGTTTCTATGCCTTCTGGTCAATAGCCCAGACTAGAGAAACCACGGAGAGACTGAAAATGAATGAGCTCTCCCTTAAATTGAGTCTGCCCTGGAGCAACCAGGGCATGGACATAGTGTCTGCACCAGTGGGTTTGCTTTTGGGAGCTCCGGTCTCCTGTCACCTTGCTGTGCTGCAGAGCTGCTGCTCAGCAGATCTGCGGGGTCTTGTCATCAAAGTGCATGGGCTGAGCAACGTGGTTTCACAGCTCTCTTCAAACAGCTTTGCACTTTTACTCCCACCTGACTCTGAAGTGGAACAGCCCCTGAGAAAACGGTGTTTCATAAGAAAGGAATGTTTTTTATCCTTTGCTAGCACTTCCATGGTCCTTCTGCATGGATGGCTCTCAGACTAGAATGGTGCAGGAGGAGGCATTTCTACCAGCAAACAACCTGGTTCCTCTTTCACCTGACATTTCTACACAATACAAAAAGCTCTCAGCTGTTCACCAGAAGTTAACATTTGACATGTTTGTTTCTGTTTTCTTATTTTTCTTTTTTTTTCAGTCTAAACACTCACATGTCCTTATCCTGTAGGAGCAGTTGTTTTAATGGATGTGCTGCCAACAAAGACACTTGGGTTTAAGTGGCTGATTCTTGGCGACTGTAATGGCTTTTAATGAAAGGTTTTGTCTTTGCAAGGCCAAGGTGTTCTTTATGCAGCTTTGGCTTTTGAAAGAAACACCTCAAATGCTCTTGGATTGGATATGAAACGTTGTGTAAATTCTGTTACACCAGGATGAAAAACCTGTGCTTTCCTTATTGATAGACTGCTTATCAAAACAGGGAGAGGTAAAGCCTAAATGGTTTTATATACTGTGAAGTCATCCCTGGGGGGATATTCCATATTTAAAAACAGAAGAAATGTATAAAAATAATTAAATATGAAACTAAAGCAATAATTTATGTGTTGTTGGGTTTTTTTGGTCTGGTTTGGTTTGGTTGGGGTGTGGGGTTTTTTAAACTAGATTTAGTTTTTGTTTTCAACTTCTCTGAAGTGACTTGCAGTTTGGGGCTGTGCATCCTGACCCTCGGAGGGCTCTGGCAGGAGGAAGCAGGGGCATGGGAGACCCAAATGACTCTTCCCAAAGGCAGAGATTGAGAGCTGGCCTTCAAACTGATTTCTGTGCATGCTGCAGCTGCTGTGGCTGTGTTTGTGTCTGTGGCTGAGGAGGCCACAGATTGTTAGTGCAGTCAGAGGAGATGGTGAAAAGCTCCATCCGTGTTCAGGGTGCAGCATGGTTCAGGCTGCTTGGATAAAGAAGGTCTTATCGCCAATTACTGGATCCAAGGAGAAAGCAGCTGCGTGTTGCTGGTGACCTCCTGGGAGAAGCAGCAGGTGACTTGACAACTTTTAAATTGCTCTTTCGCTGTGCTGTGTGAACGGCACACGGGGGCTGCGGCTGCACCCGAGGCTGTTGCATCACCAGCCATGCTCTCAGCAGAGCTTTGCAGGAAAAATGAAAGTAAGCGGTGTTATTTGCATCCTGAACAGTGAGCAAGTTCTCGGTATCTAAATGAGAGCCCTTGAAGTAAGCTCCAGATGTTGCAGGAAGTGGTGGAGGTGACTCAGTAAATGTCACACTTCCCTCCAAGTCAGTTCTGAAGTGGTGTCCAAAAATAACATTTCATGGGCATCTGGCTGTTTGAGATGCCCTGCTTTTTCATGAAACTCAAAGCTACTGGACACCTTCCTGATTTTACACCACCTTTCTTGTCGCAAGTGTTTGCCTTTACCTTCCTGTCTTTGTTCTTCCCTGAAAAGGCAAAGATATGACAAGTCCTGTAGATCTCTAAACCCAAGCGTTAACCCCTTTCATCCTCATTCCATTTCTTTGATACTTTTCCTTTAATATTTATGCCCCTCGACTGACTGATATTTTCTGCACTGCTTCAGTCCAACATATTTTCCTTTGCAGCTGCCCTATTCAGTCCCTGGTGGGGGCACTAAACAGCTGCTGGTTCAAGCAGGTAAGTGGTGCAATAGAAGAGAAAAACCTTTCTTGTCTAACAGTGCAGGTTTCACATGCCGGTGGGTGTTACATGCAGGCAGTGGGAGAGGGCAACTGAACCCCACAGCCTCCCAGATGGGGTTGAGGGAGCCAGCTAACCCCAGCCCACCTCCTCAGCAGTAAGCAAAGCAGCTGCTTGCTGTTATGCCAGGCTCTGGTTTTTATGGCTCTCCATGTGCCCGTAGGCGTGCTGGCGGGGAGATGTTTCATGCTGTGGCTCCTGTGGCTTGGTGATGTAGGAACTTCAGCAGCAATGCCAGTGCGGGATCTTATTAATCCATGGCTCAAGAGCTGACCTGTTTCTTCCCTGTGGGAAAAGGGAAGCAGCTTACCCCACAGCAGAGGGAGTAAGCAGGGGTAGGAAAGTCCTGCTCCTCACTAGTTACACTGGAAACTAAGAAGTCCCAAGAAGAAAGGGAAAGGGAAGCTGGAGTACAAAGAAGTCCTAAAGGTTGTATTAGGGTAGAAGAAAAAAGTGTGGCCACAGCATTCCAAATCCTCTCTCCCTGAATGCAGAGCTAGGAAACTGGGTGACACATGGACAGACCTGCAGCCAGAGAAGCATCAGCTGTTTGTGCATGGACACTGCAGGCTGTGGGTGCCAGGCAGGCAAAGGTATCTTTGCTATTCTTCACAGACGAGGCTAATAAACTTCTGTAACTGCTGTCTAGTTTAGATTTTGCAAACTACCACTTCTGGTTTTATCTGAGCCTCATCTGAGAGTGACTTCAAGGCAGTTGTCTAACCACAGGGTATCGGCTCCTGCAACTACAGCAGTGCTTCACACCGGCTTTGGTACCTCCTTGAAGTTAACCCCAATGCACTAGTGCAAGGGGGGGGTCTCAACCCCAATCCACTCCAGTCCCAAAGAAGCTGTCTTGCAGTGGTGGGTTAGGTGCTCGGTCCTGGAGACAGCCTTGGCCATGCTGTTAGCTGCCCTGGCTGGTGGAGATGGACAACATGCCTGGAGGCTTGCTGGGGCTGCTGTGCTGGGGGCAGAGCTCTGCAGAGGTGCAGCGGGGTGGGCACAGCCCTCCCGGGTGGCAGGCAGCAAACTGCATCTCATGCCAGCAGTGAAATCACCCCGGTGCCCCTTGCCTTGGCATGAACCGTCGCCTCTCGCTTTCACAATGACAAGGTTTCACATCCTTCTCACAGCAGCTCCTTTCTGGAGCAGCCCAGGCTGCAGGCCAGCCCACCCACCGGCTCCTGGAGAAGGCTGGGGCTGAGCTGGGTGCCCCCACCACACCACCTCCAGCCCCATGGCCAGGCCTTTACACTGCTGTGAGGTGAGTGCTTGGGGCTGAGGAGAACCTCCCTCTGTCACTGCAGCCTGCAGGAACACTGTGGGCTGGGAATGGAGATGGGGACGGGAGGGTAAGGAAAACCCTGTTCTGTTCTATGGGATTTCAGTGTGCACAGGCAGGGACCATCGCTTTGTGTCCATTGTCCTCTGCAGCACTGGCAAGCACGTTGTCCTAAACAGATGCTCCCTCTCCTTCCCCTTCTCAGCCAGTGCCCTCAGCCGGTTGTCCCTCCTGTCAGGGTGTCTGAATCCCCCTGGGCTGCTCGTATGAGGCAGTATCATGGCTCTTCCACTTCCATGTCCAGGGTAGATGGATGACCTGGAAGTGTATTTGTTACCAGCTCAGTTGAGGCTCTGGATGCCCTCTGAAGCAAACCTCCTGGTTGTCCCACACACCCTTCTTCCGTTCACTTGTGGGGTGGCTTCAGAGTGTGTCGGCTGGGTTCCTTGTGGAGGAGACTAAACTTGCAGAGGAGATGCTCTGCAGTAACACCCCATCCATTTCCCAGATCAGTCCATAGGGCCAGACTGCAGCCAGCCTGATGTAACACCCCCCTCTCCCCCGAAATGTGGTCCAAGATGGGATGCAGAGGTGTGGGAAGGCAAAAGGCACAGACGTCAAGGGATAGGTTTTGTTTCTGAACACTTGTACATCACAGGCCATGGAGTTTTTGTCTGTGGGTCATTTTAATCCCATAAGTACAGAAAATGAGGGCTGTTTTGCTTTTCACTTATACTAAGGGGATTGTGTGTATGTGTGTGTCCATTATACATTGCATTTCCTGGCACACAGAGCAAGTTTCAAGGGCTTCTGTTGTTCTGCTTCAAAAATCCCTACCTTTTTGTTGACTTAGATGAAGGAATCCTTTGGAGAATGATGTCACCTGTCCTCAGATACTCACAGGTTTTTGATCATGAGTTTTGGATGGCTCCAGGGTTAGGCTCACTGATTTACAAAGCACATACACCTGCCCTTCAAAATGTGTAAAATATGGAAGCAATTTGTGTAAGGCTGGGAGAGGTGCTCACATGCTTGAAGTTTTGGGGCTTTTTGGCTGTGTCTTTACAATTTCTGAGTCCCTGGGGCTTTTTCATGTTTCTTTTACTGTTTCTTTCAAGCAGACCCAACGGCTTATGAGAAGCACAAGGCTTTGGCCCTCTGAGTGCAGGAGGAGAAGCAGTCAGCCCCAAAAGCAGCTTCTGGTTCAGACCCTTCTCAGTTTTCCCTGGGCAGGAGCCAGCACAGAGCACCCTGCCTGTTCCCACCCAAGACCACAGCCTCACGATCTCTGAACTGCTGTACCCTATCCGAGCAGCAATGGCAGCTGTTGTCATGGGAAGACGACAGCCGAGTCTGCAGCTCTGGCACCCCCTGAGCAGCCGGGGCCGGCTGTGCCTCTCTGACCTTTACTGTGGGCCCAGCCCTATGAACCAGTTGGCCCAGCTCCCTCATGCTGATGCTGCGAGGGGAGCAGAGCTGAGCCACCCAGGCAGGTTGCTCTGAAAAGGTCAAAGTGGTACAGCCCGGTGCTGGCAAGGGAATGGCAGAGGGCGTCTGGGGCTCATTGCTGGGACATCAGCTGTGGGGTGAGAGCTCACCCTGGCCCCGGCTGTGGGGGAACCCCAGCTGATGCCTGCCCCAGAGGTGGCATCTGTGGCTCCAGAGGGGCATCCCAGCACGCTGCGTGGTTCAGTTGTGATTTGGCAGCTGTGGTTTTGCACTGGGGACATTGCAGGGGATGATTCAGAGCCACCCAGCTGGTGCAGGCAGGTGGGAGCAGGGATGAGGGATGCACCGCGATCCAGGTTGGCACGGCAATGCCAGTGGAATGGTACACTGGACCACCATGATGCCCCAGAGGTACTGTGGGAAAGTGATGTGGGGCTGGTTCTTCTTGTGCTGGCTCAGGATTTGCATCAATCCCCCCAGGCCTCACGGAGCCCCTGGAAGTGGTGGCTGCAGCCCGGTGATTGTGGATCATCCCCAAGCATTTGTGCCAGATGTGAGCAGAGCTGTAGGCTTGGGCAATATGTCTGCGCCTGCTGCCCTCCCTGCAGGTATGATGCTACTTAGCAGGACTTTGTGTAGTTTCGGGAAGGGAAGGATGAGGCAAGACGGAGAAGAGGAAATGCAATTTTTTCCCTGTATTTTGATTTTTTTGCTGGTGCAGGCACAGCCTCATGGGGTCACCATTCATTTCAGCAGTCCAGGCAGCTGCACACAGCAGATTCGGTGACTGCACACTGTGGTCCAGTGGTGTGTGTGGCTGATGCAAAGCTTGGAAAGTAATAAACACAAGCTTCCCCGAGCGGGGCACGTCTGTTATTGTGTGCACACTGTAATTCAGGAACTAGCAGATGTCTGAGATTTCTGCCCAGCCTGACAGAGACACGAGAAGGGAACTGGTTCAGGGTCTGTGCACAGCTGTGCTGGTCAGATGACTCTGTCAGCTGAACCTGTCCCCAAACTGGACCTGATTTATCATAGCAGGGACTCTGACCTTTGTTTGGTCACAAAAATACCATCTTGGAAAGCTCTCTGAAGGCTTTATAAAGAAGGAGAGTGGTGGCAATAATAGTTCGTGGGCGCTTCTTCGAAGGACCCTTTGCCTGCCAGCGGAGATGCGCAGCCCTCTCCTTCACTTGCCTCTCACCAGGGCTGGTCAGGGACAGTCACAAAAGACACTTTCAAGGTGCCTGGCTCACGGGATGGTTGACATTTCTGCTTGCATTTGCCTGGGGTGACAGGACATTGCTCTGGCTGGTGGTCTTGTTCCCTCCTTCAGGCAAATGGTGCAGCTCTGCCTGCAGTGTGAATGCCTCAGATCCACAGCCTGCCCCAGGCTGTTTGGTGGCCAGGGCAACATGAGTTGGCAGCTGCCATTGGATCCTGTGCCATGACCTCAGCCCAGGCTGAGCAAGAAGGGCTATGCTTCTCATCGTTAGAGCCTCCTTGCTTGGAACTTAAAACCTGGGCTCGAGCTCTGCTCTCACGTGGGGTGGCCAGAGGCTGCCTGAAGATGGCTCTGCAGCTTGGTGTGGCCAGGACTCGACCGCATCTCCAAACATAGCTGAAAAAGAGAACTAGAGAGGCCTGTGGCTTTCCTTTCAACCTCATGTGCCGTGGCTGGGCACATCATGCTGCAGACGTTGCAGCCACAGCAGAGCAGTTGAAGTGCTCAATCGCAGAGACTGAAGCCATGTAGGCAGACAGGGCTCTGGGGTGCCCTTCCTATGCTTTGGTGAGACCGTGGAACAAAGCAGCCCGGGCTGCTCCTGTTGGCTGTGAACATGTGAGAGTGTTTTCTTCTAACTGGAAGTGCTGCGTAGCAGGGTTACATATTCACCAGCACTCCTTTCCTCTCAAAGTCCAGAGGGCGATTGTCTTTGCCCATTGTAAAGTGATGGGGACTTTCTGTTTGCAGGAAGAAGGGAGCACAAGTTGGTGGCTAAAACTCCGGAGTGGCAACCTGCAGATATGAGCTCCATTAACCCGTGGGCACTGCCGTGCTCAGTCTTGATTACCAGTAGCTCTTAATTCCTTCCTTTTTCTTTCTCCAAAAAGCACTGATGAAGGTGGTGAACGAATCCTGAAAGATGCTGCTGTCAACGGGACCGCAGCAGCAGCCTTGCAGAGAAGGCTGACCTTGTGCAACACTTAACCTGTAAAACTGTTCCACGAAGGCGGGTGCATAAGGAGGAGGGTATTTGTAACTGTGGCCCTGAGGGAATCCTAGAGACTCCTGCCAAATATGACTTGGTTCAAGACCTTTTCGGCAACCTTCAGTGTTAAGTTTCATAGCTAAGCAATAAAGTTTCATAGCTTAACTTTAAGCAAGCGACACAAAACACACCTTGGAGCAGCAGGCAGAATGCCGCTGAGTTACACGGGTGACTATAAGGAAATCAGGAGAGCAGGGTATGGAAGGACAAGAAGAATGCGCCAAAGTCAGTGATCACATAATTTGTTTGCCGTGAGTCATGGTCTTCTACTTTCTCGCATTCCCCTCCGCCTCCTGCACAACAGCATACTGTCTAGGTCTCTGCGGTGTTTCGTGGAACAACCGTGTCTCCCTCCTGGCTTTCCGGGACTGCCCTGGTGATCCTGCAACTCGACAATGCCTGCAGTATCGTTTCATGAACCCGCCTGAGTTTTAATGCTTCAGTGATATTTACCTAAGTCCTGTGGCTGCACTGAGTCAAAAATTGCTCCTTTTACCAAGAGGAGCCTGATGGAAAAGGTGTTTCATCAAAGGAACAAAAGTTTGGGAAGAGGGGAAAAGTCAAATGAGTGCAAACACTGATCAAAGCTGCTCTCTTGCTCAAAACGAGTACTAAGAAAACTTGCTCAGTGGGTCACGATGAGCTCATTCAGTCTACTCGATTACTGGAAAAATCCTCCACTTTGAGAACTCCGTATGTGTCTGTGTTGAGTCAGAGCCTGGCACAGCAGCTTCAGTACACATTTTTGTTATAAAAAAAAGTCCCTTTTGTCTTTTGCAACCCCCCTGAACACTTTCTGTGTTTCATGGTTTTTTACATAGAAAATGTGGGCACTGTAGTGTTATGTTTCACCTGGAAGGTGATATCTTTGGGCCTAGGGTGGGTCCATCTTCCTACCTGCAACACTTGAGCACTGTGCATCCTTTTGTTTGCCATCCAACTGCCTTTTATTTATGTATATACAAATAACGGCGTATGCAAAGGTTGCAAGTGCTTGTGTGCAGGAATCGCACGTTGAAAAGGCTGCTGAAAGCATAGCGAGACTTTTCTACTGAGCTGCTTGGGGTATTTTCAATGCAAGGCTGGCAGCTACTGTGTGCTGCCTCCAGCCTGCAGCATGGGAGCCTCAGAGAAAACGATGTGTTCGGCGAGACTAAGAAAACACGGTCACAGACACTACAGAGCTGTGCTGGGATGGACACAGCAGTTGTGGGGAGGGGTCATGCTCAAATACGCTATTTTAAGCAAAATCTGAGATGAGGATGTGTTCTTAGCCACAGGAAGAGTGTTGTCTTAGTCAGAACGGTTAATCATGCAGCATGAAGAGAAGTGCGTACTGTAATGCTCATGGTGTCTGTTTCCAACAGCTTTTTTCCTCCTCTGAAATGACTTTCATATATTTTGGTGCTGCTCATTCACAATATGGTAGCATCTGCACTCTGGCTGTGTTGATGGAAAGCTGGAGGTTCTCCGGGTGGTATGAGCCATGCTTCTGTCACTGAGTTAAGCTCCATGTGCCTCTTCTCAGGAGTCAGGCAGACAGAGAGAAAGGGGGGGGGGGTGTTGGAAAAATGTCCTGCTGACGTCAATGAAGACCACACTGTGCTGGATAATATTACTGTGTACCTCAACCACCCACTCCCTTTTATTTACTAGAAACTAGGCAAGCTGTTTTGAAACCCATCGCTTCCAGCGTGTTTGCACTGTTCTCCCTTGACCAAAGGCTATTAATTGTCAGGAGCTTGAAAGCTACCTGATTCCTTGTTCAAAGCACTGAAGCAGAGGGGATTTCCATGAGTAATAATTTCAGTCTGTGCCTGTGCAGTGCACCGTAGGCTAGAGTAAATTGATCCAGCTGCTTGCAAGACTAGATGGAAAAGTGCCCGGGGGGGGGCTGGGAGCACATCACCAGATGGAGCTGGATGCTGTTGTCATCACATGGGGCTCCCCAGCTGCTGGGCATGCTCGAGCTCGACTTCCACCATGAGCAGGGCGCGCGCAGCCTTCCTGTCTGCGCTGACTTGCAGCGCAAGGCGAATTCGCCAGCACATGTTGCAACGTCTTCCCTTCTAATAAAGAGGATAATTTTAGATTAGCCAGAACTGTCACCTCTCCCCACTACCTCCCTTCGCCTCCCTGCTCACCGTCCTTATCATGCTGACCCCAGTGTTTTGCTCAGCAGCAACCTTCCCTGTGACAGAGAATATAAAAGCTTCCGAGAAGCCAGCAACCTCTACAAATAATAAAAATTGGCAGGATTAACCTGTAACCCGAGGCGACGAAAACACGGATTCCACTAGCCAGATGGCAGAGTTCAAAGATCCACTCACTTCCTGGCGGAGGTTGCACAAGTTAATTTTTATCCTTGTTAAAAAGAAATAAGAAGTGAAAACATAGCAATAAAACATGTGCTGCTTGCTATCTCTGGTTCTAATCACATTTATTTTATCCCTCTGAGTTTCGTTATTAGGGATGTTAGGAAAATACATTCCTTCTCTCTTCTGGAGATGTTTAAATCATGCTTGGGTTTGTTGGTTTTTTTTGTCATTTTGCCGTGGTGTTTGTATGATCAATTCCAATTGAGTCTATTGGAAGAAGAGCACTATGTAGGAGGAATGAATTAGCATAGCAGGAATGCAGTTCACTGTATCTTTGTAGTTAACAATTCAATTAGAGTTGCAGGGAAAAGAGATGGCACCCGAACTCTGTGACTGCTTCCTTTGGGAGAGCCTGGGGCTGGCAGTGTGACAGTGGTTGCTCAGTGCAAGCTGTGCAAGAGGGTCTGGGGATTATCTGAGCCTGAGCTCTCTGGCAGGCTCATGGAGGGAGAGATCCCCACCACAAATGATGTGCAAAGCCATTAAATGGGGTTGCCATGGCACAGACCGCACAGTGCTGGGGCAGGGGTGGCAGGGAAAGGCATCTCCCAAGTGCTGGCACTGTGTGCTGAGGAGAAGTGGGGCAGGGAGGCTTTCCCTCCCAGCTGCAGAGCAGTTTGCTTGGCAGCAGAAAGTAATTTTATGGGATGTGGTTTATCCAGGGAATGGCAGGAACAGGACTAGCGCAGGGATGTCCCGCTTCATGCCCCATGGCAGGGCTGGCCTGCCAGCACTTTTCACAAACAGCGAATACAACCACGCTCTTTACCTTTCCTATTAGTCCCCTCTAACAAAACAAACATGTGCACAGCATTGCACCATGGGGACCTTACTGTACCCCTGCTGAATCAGCAGTAGTAAATTTACCGGAGGGAGGGGATCAGGGTGTATCAATCTGAGAGCTGCTCTCAATTCTTTCTCTGGGCTTGACCACACAACTTTCTTCCCAAGCTGAGCGTTAACTGCGACAAGAAAGGGCTGTGAAGTGTGAGGCTTAGATAAGTGCCTGTGTGCATTGCTATCATGCGGCTGTCATGAAGTGTACACGAAGGTAAACAGCTCAGCCTGCAGACTGCAGAAGCCGGGGTGGAAGAATAAAGTTCATGGGTTGTTTTGTGATGGTTTGTCCTGCCTCGCTGGCTGTGCCATTAGTGAAAACAGAAGTTGAGCTCCTGGCAGGGTTTTGGAGCAGGCTGCAGGTACCCTTCAGGAGAGCAGCACTGGGAGTTCCAGGCAGGGAGCTCATGATTAATTTTGCAGGCATTTATTGTGCAATGCGAGATGGCCACCGGCCAGCTCAGAAGTTAAGCCAGAGGATGACTGTCAAATGAAACTGTTACGTTTGGCAGATCTTTCCAAAGCTGCTGTGCAAAACAGGCGTCCTGAAGCTGATTTCTGGATTTTCCAAACCTTCTGTACAACATATTCTTGTATGGCAGCCTCCTCCGTGCTCCCCTTTTCGGCAGAAGAATTAGATTTGACTTGCAGGCTGCATGGATTTCAGGTCATGATTTGTAGTACAGGCAGCCCTCTCCATGCCTTACATTTACCAGCAAATCTCTCCTTCTTGTAATTCCTCCTTTAAGGATCTTACAAGGAGCCAGCTCTCCTTCACTTGGCTTTCTGAAAACAAACCTGGGTTTTCTTTGAAAAGCCTTTTCAGCCCAGATGAAGGTGAGGAGGAGATGAAAAGGCTGGTGGTGCGAAACGAGCCCTGCCTGTGCAAGCAGATTGCGATAGAAACTTCCCTCTTGTGTGCCTTACCCCAAGCTAAGGTCAGTCAGTTAACTCTGTTTGGACACCGTCTGGCATGAATACTTCAACGATAAAGCTTAATGTGTAACCGAGGGCCTTTTTTTCTACTGTGTCAGCAGTTGGCAAGACGATACTGTAAATAAGGCTTCCTATGAGTAAATAGATATGTGTGGAGAGGGGAGGAGAGCACTGCAGTAAGCAGTTTTGAAATTCAAGCCAGCGTTGCTTCAAGTGATAAGGTTATTTGAGTAACCTGCAAACCATACGGATGCACAGGTTTCAAAAACAGGAAAGCATCTTGTTTAAAAACCTTCTGAGGCAACCCGAGGGCTTAGAAAAGAAACTGGCTTTGCGGTTAAGTGATTGTACTTCCTTACTGATATCAGCATCGGGGCGGTGCAAGGCCTGTCGGGACGGCGGTGCTGCGGAGCAGCTGTGAAGCCCATGTTTGCACCCGGCCAAGGGGCTTTCTGGAGGGATGAGAAATCTCAAAGTTTCCCTTTTCGTTTCCTCTTTGGGTGAGCCGGGAGGTTTTTTTTGTCACTCTCTTTTTCGGCAATGTAGTAAGAAATAAGTAAATAATCCAAGTGGGCTGACACCCTCAGAACACACATCCCTGGCTCCCTTTGGAGGCGACCCTGCCGCGGGCTGTGCCAGGCTTGGTGCTGGTGCCGTGCTGGACGCTGGTGTTGCTAGCCCAGCACCCACATAGGTGTGCCTTTGGGGGAGCAGAGCACAGTGCCTTCCTGAAGGGTTTTGCTGTGAACATGGCAGAATTTGCTGATGTTTTTGGAAAGCCTGGTGGCTACGTTTCTCCATAGATAAACCAAAGCCACATACTCTCTGTTTGACCTTTGTTTTGGATTAAGAAAATCAGCCCATGAGATCTGAAGCAAAGTTTCCACAGGAGAGAGAAGGGCATATGCCTGGGCGCACATGACTATCGATGCACACATGACTTGCTGAACACAGTGTGACCTCCTGCTTGCATTGGCAGCACGCTCCTCAGGGATTTACAGAGCTGGTACCTAGAAAACACAGGTCTGTCTCACCTGAAATGACATAGCTGGCAGCTCCAACTGTGTTCCAGTTCCAATATTATTTACTAAACGGGAGTCAAAGCACAAAGGTGGGATATGGGCAATATCTGTCCCAGCGTACGTGGTTTCCAGCGGAGGTTGTGCTTGTTCCCATTGGATTTGGGTACGTGCTTTGACTGTTATTTGAGCACCTGGGGACGAGCAGAGACCCGAGTGGGTCCCTTCCCAGAGGCATGGCTCTTGTGGAAGTGAGGGGATATTTCACTCCCACCCCGGCCTCTCCTCCCTACCCATTTTACCTTCCGGTATGTCCACCTCAGCTGGTTTCCTCACCAGTGGTAGCTGTGGTGCCAGCCACAGTGGAGTTAGAGCAGACGTGGCTTTGGCCCATCAGGTCCTGCGTTTTGATTGCTCTTCAACTGAAATGTCAATGGCTTCTCTGTCAACTTACAGCAAAGATGTTTGAAAAACTTTAGGAAATTAATGTAACTCGACTTGGAGCAAAGTTTTTTGGCTGGAAATTCAGCCTCCAGCCAACAGAGCAGTCTTCTGCCAACTCATTGCCTTGGCCCTAGAAGCAAGCAATGAAAAGAGAGAAAAAAAAGAAAGAAAAAAAGATTCCCCTCCATTGCCCCTTAGTTTTAATTGTGTTTTTTGGTAAGCCTCATAAATCCTGCCCAAATCACGTCATCAAGCCACAGGGAAACTGAAACCTTGCCCAAGGCAGGAGCCAGCAGAGCTGTTCAAGCCAGAAGGGTTATATTCAGGGACAAGCTCAGTGCGCTGAGATCTTGTTTTGAATGGGAATGTGCTCCTCCGAGTGAGAGAGGCACCTGGGTGCGGGAGAAGATCCTGCCTTTTTCCTCTTTGGATGTCAGAAAAGCTACAAGAGGAAGAGTGGCACGAGTGGAGACAAAGCAGATATCCTCACTGCACCCTGAGTGCCTTTCAAGTGGTTTTCCTCTTGCACTGCAGTGAGGGGGAGCAGGAAGGGAGGGACGGGGACTCGCACCAAATGCCTGTCCAAGCACTTTATGTTTTCCTTTGGGCACTAGACAGACAGAAGAATGAGGGTTGAAAAATAAAGTGTCTAAACTGAACTCCTGAGGGTTTTCTTCCCCTCCTGTCTTGTGGTGCTTTGTTAAACATGTTCTGCATGTAACTCCCAGCCAGGAAAGGAAAAAGAGTTTCAGCTTGGAGGCAGAGCCTCCTTGCTGCCTCTGGTGTGGTCCCTCGGATGCAGCTTTACCAGATGAGGGGTGGGTGATGCTCAGCTGGGCGATCCATGGCATCTCCTCAGAGGAAACCGGGGCCTCCACAGCCCTGGCCGGACAAGCCAAAACATCGCCTTCAGTACTTCATGGGAGGGGTGTGTGTGAAAGGGTCTGCAAGATTTTGGCAAGTGCGTTTTTTGGCTTTGAAAGAAGGGTGTCACCTCCCTTTGCCTCTGGGGCAGGCAGCCCTGAAGGGCTTCCACAGCCCCTCCCACTCCGGAAAGGATAAAGCTAACAGCAGCAGGCTTTGATGGGGGCTGAGCTATCGTCAGCAGTGTTTAGTCACCCAGCTGCAGCAGGAGCTGAAAATGTTTGCTTATTTTTCTTTTCCTTTTTCTTTTCCTCCCTGGCCTTGCACAGTGAAATGTGCAAAAGCAGCAGGGGATGAGGCTCCCCCCTGCCAAGCGTCGAGTCGAGCCCCCTCATCTCTGCAGAGTCCCTCAGAGTCCCTGCACCCTGACCTTTGCCTTCAGCTGGGCTTCTTTCAGTCATCGCTATTTTGACTGCGTTTGTGCTGCGGAGGAATGCAGGTGTTTCCTCTGTTCCCACCAGCTTGTCCGTGCTCTGGCTTCTGACAGGCCGGGGAGGCTGCTCATGCGTGTCCTGTCACGCTCAAGGAGGCATTTGAGGAAAATGTGGATGCAGTTCAGGCACATGACCAGGGAAACGATGCATTTGCATGCACTTGCATGTAAGTGTAATTCAGGCAGGCAACGTGCCGAGCTTGCTTGAAAATCTGGCCCGTGTTTTTCCATTTGTGGGTTAGGGTTTTTTTAAAGTTAAGAAAAGGCAAACAACTTGTTCCTCCATTTGATCTGTAATAACCTGAGCTGATTCCCTTGGAAAGCTTATTTATTCTCCTTGGCTGCTGAAGTGGATGCTGAATTTTGAGCATCCTGTGAGGAGATGGTGTGCATATGGGGTTCTTTGTTGCCGAAGCTTTTGTTGGACGATTATGAGACTCATTTATATAGCTGTTTATGTATTAAAATTGTTGGGTTGCCTGGAGCTACGGATAAGCGCTCCTTGTTTGACATATCTCTAAATAAATATAGAGACATATTATTAATGGATACAGCTTTAAAAGCAAACACCCAGAGATGCACTTACAATAAGGGGAGGAAAAACCAAGGTTACATCATGCTGTTAGAAGCCAATTGCTTTGTTTTCTAAAATGTTTCTCTGTAGGACACTGATGATTTTTTGACTCATTCAGCATTTGAGCATCCAAAAGTCCCATGGTTGTTCCAAAATTCTTTCAACAGCATCCCAAATGGCATTAACAGACGGTTACAGTGTTTTACTGTCCAGCATATCCTTTTTCCCCGATGGATTCATGTTTGATTGGGAGGTTTGGGGAGGAATACTTTTGTATTTCTGGACAACTCCGTCCCTGCTGAGGGAGGAATCAGCATTCTGGGGCTTTACAGACCTCATCATTTTGCAGTCTCAAGATGAGCGGCGGTCCCTGGGCTTGTTCACGTGTGTGAGTGGAAGTGCACTTATGGATGAGTGCCGTGGGTTGTCAGAAGATGGAAGCCTATTGCTCCCACTGTCATGCTGCTAATGCTTTAGGTGCCTAGCTATGGCTGGCTCAGGGAAACATCTACATGCATAGCTGGTTCCCTAGCTGGCAATTACCAACTGCCTTGTGCATTCTCTGCTGCACCCCTTCTCTGGAGAGCCATGTTCCTGTCACTGTGCTGCCTCCTCCTCCCCATTCCCAGCCAGCTCAGGCCTGGAGCCAGAAGCTCCCACCTGGCTCTTGCTCATCTTATGGCCCTGCTGTTTACTCCTCAGTATCACCAGGAACTTCTTGTTATTTGTTTTGGACCCGAAGGGCACAGGTTAGAGCAGGGTTGTGACCGAGGACGAGTTTTCCTGCCTCCTGCAGGGAGCTGAACCAGGGGTTCAGGACTGCAGGTCAGGTTGAAAGCTGACAGCTGGTGGCCCTCTGCTCCCACTGCAGAAAACTGATGCTTCTGCTACTATCCACACCCTGAGCCAACAACCTGCAGTTGTGGATAGAGGAACCACAGCCAGGCACCTCTTCCAGGGCCAGACACCTCCCTGCTCAGACCACCCAAACCCATGTGATGACATCTGGGACATAGGAGTGAAAAGCGCCTGCCCATCGTCCTCGTGGAGCTGCAGCAATGCTCCCAGGGCTGCGGGTGTATCCTGCCTTGGTAAGTTCTATGGCCGTACCTCCGTGCACACTTCAGCGATGCTGCTGTGCCAACCAAAGCCTACACCCAAACCTGGCTGAAGGCTGTAGTTTTTGTAGTCACAGAGTAGCCTTCCACATATGCTTGCTGTGCCCCAGGGGCTGGCTGGGACCCTGAGCCCTCCTATGGCACCCGGGGCTGGAGCACAGCTGTGTACAGGGATGCTAATGCTGGCCCAAGGGGCAATATGGCTGGATGAGACCCCTCCTGCTCCTGACCAGCTCTGGTCTCAGTCATTGCTGATCACCCAGTTAAAGAATAAGTACTCTGTGCTTGGAAACCACTGAAGGAGCAGCTTGGCCAGGTGAAGCAGCAGGACCCCTCAGCATGGGTGTGCAGGAGGCGTGCTAGCTCTTTAAGCCCTCAGAGGGGGCTATGAGGCTCCTTGGGGCTCCTCTGGCTCCTTCCTGGGATACACAAGCCCCCAGGCTGAGGGCTGGCAGCCCTCCAGAGGGTGAAAGTGGGGCAGGCCTTGTTATTCCCTGTTTAACTGGCCCCTTCAAGTGGCTGGCCTCTTTCCTATGCGGTTATTTTTACAGCGATCTCATCTGTAGGTGGGTGAATTGTTCTCTTCCTCGCCTGGCGCTGCTCCTGCAGGCTAGGAGCGGCTTGGCTGGGGTGCTCCTGTTTGTTTGCTTTAGGGATGTGGTGTGCATTCACCCACTGTGGGGCGGGTGCAGTCACGGCAGCTGGTGTGCCTCTGACCCCTGCAGCAGCCACTTTGGGAGCCTGGTGTTCACAAGAGCTCCTCAGACCCCTCCTGTCTTCTGGAAATGTGTCCCTTGCATTGCCCAGGCAGCTGGCACAAGCAGGGATGGCTTCCCAGCCTGACTCTCATCTCTGCGAATAGCCTCTGTGAGAGATGCAGACGTCCAGCTGCAGAAGAGCCACTGACCCAGCTGAACACGGGCATCCCCCTGCGGGCATCCCTGGCAGGGGGGGATGCTCTGTTTTGCTGGATGAAAGTCGCCGATCCTGTTCCCACCACCCTTGAAGCAGTGACAGGGTGTCCAAGCAGTGGCTTCTGCCTTGGAGCTAGGAATCCCATGAGCTAGGGACCACACAGAGGTGTAACACACGGCAGAATCATAGAATCATAGGATGGTTTGGGTTGGAAGGGACCTTAAGATCATTTAGTTCCAACACCCCCCCCCGTGAAAGGGAAAGAAGGGAAGAGTGAGAGAAGGCAAAACTTTAACAAGCTCAGCCCAGTTATGGTGCTGGATGTGCAGCATTGACCCAAATCTTACCCCCCTTTTGCTTGCCTGTGTTGCAGGGGTGTGGTGAGGTGGCAAAGGGGGCTGGCCGGGGCACTCATGGGCTGGATGGGAGGTGTGTATGCAAATTGGCCTCTGCTCAGCTGCTGCTTAGATTCAAACAAACTGAGCCTGGCGGGAGGGCACGACACCTCCGGCAGCAGAATCATATGGTATCAAGCTGAATCTATTTAACTTCTGTTTAACTTGCAGGCTTCCACTACATGGAGGAGCTTCGGGAAGTGATGAAGGAGACAGAAGTGTTGGAAAATATGGAGGGAGGGAGAGAGTAAAAGGGCAGGCTGGGGTGATCAAAATCCAGCCAAGAAAGTTTCCAAAGCAGCAAACCAGAGATGGATAAAGAACTGTCAGTGAGTCAGGGGGAAGGAATGGCAGCATTGTCTCTTGTCAAAGCAAAGAATCTGTAATGGAAGAAGATGAAGTGCCAGGGAACTAATATCCCTCTGCAGCAATTGTCTGATCCCTCCTTTCCCCTCCAAAAAAGCAAGTCGCTGCTGGCTAGCTAACAAGTAAAAGAACCCAGTCCAAAACCTAATCTAGTCTCCTGTGCCAATAAGCGCATCTGTCGGTGTGTCAGTGTTGATCCTCCTTCAGTACATGCCACATGCTCGTTTCTTTACACAAGATGGGCTGGAAGGGCCATTAACTAGATTAGAAATTCTAAAGCACAATTAAAAAACATGCTGCTTCTTTGCTTTAATCGTCTCTCCTTTAGCTTCCAGGCTTCTTTTCTCCCCGGCCTGACAGAGTCTATGTTGTGTGGTGGTGATAGGGTATCATTACAGAACCGGGGCTTGTTTCTGAACTGTGTAGCGTCATGCATTACCTTGGCAGCAACCCGCAGGTCCATGAAGCTCTCCAAAAAAGGAGTAACCCCTCCAACTGGCAGAACAATAGCTGCATTTACCACCTGTGGGGAGAAGATTTGAGCATTGAAGCTGCGCAGCCAAGGAGCGAGATGGTGACTCACGAAATCCCTTTCTGTTAGCTTTACTCTCCAGAGTTACCCAGACAAAAAAGAATAGAAGGAAAGGAAACATTTGGTCTATCTATTCACAGTGCAGCTATACGTCTGTAGACCTACGGCAGCTGGAGGTGCATGGGAAGGCAGGGGATTGAAAGGTTACTATCTGTAGCGCTCCGCAAGGCAGGATTCACACCCTAGCAGCCTATATGAGGATGGCTGCATCTGCCCCATTCATATGCAGAACATTTCTCCAGGGAGAGTAGCGACACTGCAGAAAATGCTGTGATATGGGTCATGCTTTTGCTCCTCCTGCTCTCCTCCCGCACCTGGGCTGGGGATGTGGACTCTCTCCGTCCTGCTTCAAGCAAAGGATGTTCAGGCAGACCCTGCCCTGCTTCTGCAAAGCAGAAAGAGTGGCTCTCACCTGCCTGGCTGGTACCTGCACCCCAAGGGCAAGGTGAGGAGCAGCACCTTGGAGCATTCCTGATGTCCTAAGCAACATCTGGTAACACAGGGCGGATTGCAGCCTGTTTTCTGAGATGGGGAATTGCTGCTTAATTGCTACTGTGTTTTACAAATGCAGTGGGAATTTTACAGAGGACATAACATATTCTAAAATGAGGGGTTTTTATTCCTTGGGTAAGTGTTTTCCTCATGCAGAACCGCATTTATTACTCTTATTAATGGCCTCACGGGTGCCTGTGCTAGTTCCAAGTCTTTATAGTTGCTATCATTATACAATTTTGAAGGTACAGACCAGATTCTGGCCTACCCACACTAAAAACAGTAGAGTTCAGGGATTCGATTTTTCACAGCTTTGGGCATCAGGATATTTTAGCATTCTCTCCTGTGCTTATTGTGCTGAAAGCTCTCATCATCGCTGCCTATATAATATAGCAGGAAACACTCCCCTGTTGGAGAAAATTAGACATTATAATTGCCCTGTTAATCCCTAAGGGATTTTAGAAATGAATGCTAAAGTGTCCTACTATTTCTATAGGACTCTATTTGATTATCCTTTTTAAATGCTGCAAGATTTTTCCATATGGTTATGTTTAGGATGCATTATGGAGGCCTTTCATCTTCTTCCGAAGCACAGGATGAAATATGGGTCACTGCTAGAATAAAGCAGTGAGGTTTTGTGATCCTGTAGTCTGCTGCATCTGATATGATAAGCCCTGTGCTGCTAGAGAAGGCATCAACCTTTTGGGAACTAAATGGCTTGGTGGGGTTGCTTTAAAATTGGAGCTACACCTATTTGATACTTTTTTGGATGAAAGAACAAGATCTTTCATTCTCCTTACTATGGAGTGCCAGCCAGGTTTAAAATTAATATCAACCAGTGTTGAAGAGGGAAGGAAATGAGAGAAACATTTCTTCCCCAGAAACAGCCCTGCTTTCCTGCCTTTTCCATAAGCGCATAGACGTCTGTCAATTTTGGCACCAGAAAACATTAAAAATAAGGAGTTTTTTAAATACCAGGAATTCTTATGCACCTTTAAATGTCGCCCAAAAGGAATGCAGAGGCTGTAAAATGGACAAAAAGAGAACTGAGCCAGTCAAACAGTTAACGTGCTTCTGCAGAGAGCACTTACTGCTGCTTAACAAAACATCTGAAATATCCCGGGTGTTCTTGGAGAAGGCTAGAACGAGGTGAAAGGCAATGCCTTATGGGTCCAGGAGCCTGGAAACTGAGGAGACGCCGGGAGTTGAAGAGCAGGGCTTTAGTTTCCTGCTGTCCCAAATTCACTCCAGCTCCCCAGCAGATTCCAGGAGTCTGGGATAGCTGATGCAAGATGCCTGTGGTCTTTTTTGCTAGAAATACTGAGTACCTATCCTAGTTACTGATTTGGAGCACAATAAACTGTGGTAAATCAGGCTCTTGGCGCTCAGAATACAGACGTTTGAAATGAGCAGAGGCTCTCTCAAGAGGTATTTTTCCTAGCTATAAAGAGGGGGAATAGTTACGTTACAAGAGGGAAGGTTAAATCATGGAGATTTTTTGTAAACTGCCTTGAAGCTTTGGAGAGGAAGCCATTATAGGAGCACAATTTGCTCTTTATTTTGTATTTTATTTATTGCCTCATTTTCAAATAATGAAATTCTGAGCATACCTCCTCACTGGCTGCTGAAAAATAAGGGAATGCAGGAGGATTCTTAATGACACTAATAAACCCAGCTGAGCACTTCGCCAACAAATTCTTTTTATTGCAAAAATACCATTTTATTAATACAAATGGTCTTTATAGGATTGCATTGATTGCCACGCAGTTTTGTTTAGAAAAATATACAGACCGAATTATATTCGTTTGAAATGTTCCTTTTTTATATGGTCGGAACAGATCACTTCAGCCCAGAATTTCATTTTGTAATGACTTTATGGTTTGGACAGTCTAATTTATATTCCATAATCAAAACATAAAGAATTAAAGTGACATGATTTTATTGAAAGTGCAATGTATTCATGTAGGATATGGTTTTATGTGAGTGAGAACTTCACTTAGAGTTAAAAATGCAAATATACTGGTAGTCCAGTCTGCAGCCTTGCTGCCCTTCTCCACTAGAGAATCATAGAATAGTTAGGGTTGGAAAGGACCTTAAGATCATCTAGTTCCAGGCCCCCGCCCCCCCCCGCCGTAGAAGAGATGGAAAGCTCGCTGGAGTGTCCAGAACAACCCTCTTTGCTTCTTCTATTCAATCCTGCTTTTTCTTAACACCTTTCTTGTCTAAAAGATAGCATGGTTTCAACCTCAGGTTATTTTCTTCGTGCTGCAGTACATAGATTTTTTCCCTCCTCTTGCTGTGTGGAGATTATGGCCATGTGTGATGGGGGATCATTCATCCATTCAGCCAGCAGTGGTTTTGGGGTGAAAATCCATCTCTTTTGCTCCTCTCTGCCACAGGCCTCCCTCTGCCTTGCTGTGCTGAGCTTGATGGTGCTCTGCGTTTTGATCTCCGCACACTGTTCAGCCTGGTGGACACTGTGGGTGTCCACCGGTCATTTTCTTCCTTCATCCCCTTTGGCAGTATGATGCTGGCAAGACACATTAATTGCTATGCTTCTTAGGGGGTTTTGCCTGCTGATGTGATGTTGTCATTGGGGTTTGACTGGTCTCTGCCCTGTTGATGAAAGATGCTAATCGTGATGTGCAGTGAGTCCCATGAAACATAAAGAACACTCCTGCCTTATTTTGGGGGAGAGGGATGTGGAAACATCCGCCCTTGGCAGCCACCAGGAACAGAACAGGAAAAGGGATGGGAAAGGTGGGACATGAATTCTGTTAATCGACAAGCGTTGGAGGTGATGTGATGCTCTGAACGGTCAGAGCCCAGGCAGAGCCCTGTGCAGTGTGCACAATACGTGGTGTACTCACTGCTGAAGCTGCTGCCGCTCTGTGCTTTTCCAGGAAAAGTGGAACGTATGAGTCTCTGCAAAATGTGCATTCTGTTAGGCATTGTCTGGAGCGGCTTTTTGGGGAGCTCGGGAGCTCTCTGTGCATTAGCTGGAACAACTCCTCCTCTGCGTGTACGCTCGGTTCCTGCGCTCCTCTGGACCACTCCCTCCCATTTGGCTCTTAGCATTTCCAGCCTTCAAAATGTTCAAATAACCCAGTTTATCCTCACAGGACCTCTAAGGGAGGGATGGAAGAATGGGTAAACCCTTAGTTTGCCACTTGGGAAGCTGAAAAATAGTCCCTCATCCCTAATCTGCAGTAAGACTTCGGTGTGCCACGCTGCAAGCGCATGTCTGTACATAAAGGAGCAAATGCATGCTTCTGGACATCTATATACTGATATATCTGTATATTTATGATTTGGTCAAGCTCTGTGAACACTGCAAGTCCAAATATAATTTGCTTTCGGATTTCCTCACATAACGCTCACCTGGTATGACAGAGTCTGGTGTAAGCTGTTTGTAGATTTACTTCCCTGTTGGGATTGGTCAGCAAGGAGGAGGGATGTATGACATGCAGTGATGTCTATAGTAGTTTTCATGGACACAGCCAGATGTAACCCACCTGTGGTACTCCCCAGAGGCACTGACACATGTGGTAACCACTTGCACATACCGCAGGGCGCAAAGAGCCAGTGGCACCACTATCTCAGGGCGCTCCTGAGTGCATCCGCTTCATCTGAGCTGCTGATTTGCTTTTCCTGGAATCAAACTAGAACCCCCTAAGGACGTTGCATGAAACTTGTAAAACAAAGTCAGGCCCCTCTGTCTTGTGGTGCTTGTTTTAATTTTACTATGGGCTGTCAGGAATATAATTTGTGATTAAAACTGAAAGCTGCCTTGAAGCAACTGCCAGGCTGAGGGGTGTCGGCTGGGGCTCCGAGAGGGTTAGTTAACTCCAAGTCCTTGGTGTGTTGTTTTTCCCTGCACAGGTCCATGTGGAAGATCTATTCCCACATCTAATCAGGATTTGGACTTGCAAAGGGGTGAATGCTAGAGCTGTGATTGGAGACTGGGAGGAGAAGGCAGCCCTCACATGTGATTTACCTTCACACTGCTGCTGGGTGCTGAAACTCTTTGTAAGAAAGGGGTGAGTCTGATGTAATGAATTTACCAAAGCTCACAGATTTGCGGTGAAAAGTCAGTACAACAGGCCTTTATGAGCTGTGGATTTATGACATGTAAATAAGTTAGTGTGCTAATTCTGGCCGGTGTTACAGGTAGCAGGCTGTCAAAAAAAGCCTCACAGGGTGATTTATGTGGGTTTTTTTGTGCACACTTGTGTGAATACATTTACAGATCCTCTACCTCCCTTCCCCACAGCTGCAGGGGTAGGAGCAAGGAGCAGTGTTCAGCGTAGGCTGGTCCATGCTTTCTCCCCAGGGTGCCAAGCTCCAGCAAGCAGGAATCATTAAACTGGGGGAGGCAAAATGGCTTTTGGCTGTGCCCAAGCCCTCCCATCAGTGTTGCCCTGCAATCTCTGCTGAACGGAAACGGTTTCCTCACCCTCAACTCTAAGCTTACAGACTGGGTTACCTGCCTTCCTGCTAGTGCCTCCACCTACCCAGACAGCTCTGGCACTTCAGACTTACTGATCAGCTATTTTCTACCACAGCTCTCTTGCAAAGGTTTTACACGGCGGCGTAGCAGCTGACTAAGCAGCGAGCCTGAGAGTGAGAGAAGTGAACGTAGGGCTTCTTTTATTTGGCAAACTGACAAGGCTCCATCTCAAAATGTTGAGGCATTTCTCCATGTGAGCAGCCTGCTCAGTAGATGGGCTATGGGAGCTGGGAGACAAGCTGTGCCAAGGCCCCCAACCAAGTAAACAGGCAGGGAGATGTTTCAAATGCAGTACCTAGAAGAGAGGAGCACAGGCAATTTGCATAGTGAAACAACTGTGAGAGGATGTGCTGAACATGCGACTCAGCTTTGAAAATGGTTATCATATGGAAAAGCATATGAGGCATAGGAGAAATTTTGTAGAGAGAGACACTGTGGACCAGAAATATGGAAGTACAAAGAGCCTGTCATTTCAGATATCCCAGAATGGGGCATTTTGGAGCATCACACTGGGCTGGAAACAGACAGCCTGGTCTGGACTGAATGTTTAATTTTGTTTTTATTTTTACATATACATATATATGTACATTTTCCACTCCCTTGTGCTGAATTTCCTTAGCCAGGATAGTGCAGCCATTTGGAGCACGTTTCCATGGTGTTTTCAGTTTTCATGATCACTTTTGCAAATTGCTTCCAATATATCTCAAGTAATAAACCAGTCCTGCCTTCAGTTACTGATGGATGCACCTTAAAACATTCAAGGCAGTTGAAAAGTTCTGATATCTTTGGTCTGATCCTTAGCCGAGCCATGTCTAGCCTTGTTGGAGTCCCTGTTGTATTCAGGCACAAGTGGCAAAACCATCTGTATACTTTCCATTTTAGCACTGTTAATCTACTGTCATCGATCCTAAATGGATCTTCAATCTTACCACACTGGGCAGGTGGGGAAAAAACCTGGGGCATACTCTTTTGCAGATTGTAGGAACTGGGAAAAATTATGGTCCTGCTCAAGGAGCTGGTTTCCACTGTGAGGGTGTCTTATTAAGTGTCCCCTTGCCTAGTGGCTGGTATTGGAAGGCAGAGGGAGGGGTCATGGTAACAGCAGGACCTTGACACTTGCCCACTGATGAGGTGCACTGTTGGAAAGGGGCACATTCCCTCCTCCTGCCTGGAGAAAACTGAGGAAGTGGAGAGGCACAATTATTAACAAGGCAAAGCAGCAAAGGTGCTGAATGAATTCATAAGGACTTAAGAAGGAAAGTGGAAGAGATTATAGACATTCAGGGAAGTACTGGCGATGAGGGGAGTTGAAGTGGCTGGGCTTTGTGAGGGATGAAGGCTGGTTCAATGGCAGGATGGACCAAGATTAGAAACAAAGTGCAGGGCTGTTCTGCGTGCCTGAAGATGAAAGGACCTGGAGGGAAAGGTGACTTCATCACAGGGTGCTCATGCAGGGTCTGGTCATTTCTTGTGCTTTGCCTTTTAAGAACAGCAGTGGCACATTTCTACTTGTATCTGCTCCTGTTTCCATGCCTGCCAGTACCCTGTTGGTGCTGAATAGCTAAACTGAAGAGAAAAAAGGTTGAAATATCCCTTAATATTGGGAAGAGGTGGCATTTTGTCATTTGGGAGGGACCTCAGGGTGAATTTTTGGCCTATGAAAAGTGTTGGAAAGACAGCTCTGCAAAACTGAAACCTTTATTCTTTATACTCACACACATATCTGGGTAAGGTTTGCCTTTGGAGCATGGGGAACTGAGAAAGATGGTAGTACCAGCGCTTCAACCGAATGGGTCAATAAGCTCACTCATGTGATGATGCCTTTCACAGCATGCCTGGCAACCACTGCTGAATGTAATGCAGCATTGACACTTCAGTGAATCGATTTCTCTGAATGCCATGCCAAGCAGATGAGAAGCCTTTGTCAGCCAGTTTCGGTCAAGTCCATCATCCAATCCCCGACCTATAGCTTGTGGGAGTGAAGTATGAAGGATGAACTCATCAGAAAAGTTCAAAGGTCTTGTGTCCTTGGTGGGGAGAAGTGGATGTGCAAGAGGAACGATGTATTCAAAGTAAGTCAATAAATCAAAGATGCCAGCCCCAGGCAGATGTGTCTCTGTGCTGATTCTGGTGCCCAAGCAGCAGCACAGCAGAGCAAGGTTTGGCTGTGTGCCTGGGGGGCTTTCACACTGTAGATTTGAAATGTACAGTCACTGCTGAAGCATCAGAGAAGAATTAGCATGCAGTGCTGCATGCTCCCTTGACCTGGAGGACAAAAGCCTGCAGAGGGAGAAGGATTTTTCAAAGTGCTGTGGCAAGCAAGCAGGAAAAAAGGAAGGGAATTGTGGTGTCACAGCTATTTGTTGTATGTGAATGTCTCTTTTTGCTGTGTTCAGATTCCATTTTCCCCAGGCCTTCCTCTGATTTCTTCATCTCA